TCGAAAGGAGAGATGCAATGGCTGGAGAATGGGAAAGCTGAGATCTGAAATTTCCATCAGCATTCAGCACACAGTTGTCAATTCATTTCATATTCTTCATTAACCAGTCAGATTGATTTATTCACATAAATTTAAAGTGTAACTGAAATAAACTCACCTCTGCTGTGATTGCTCCTTTGTAGTGTCACACTTCAACTTGGGAGACTGGTGTATGAAACTAGGCAAAGATAGATTATGGAAATCCTAATAAAAATCCTATGTCTGTTTTTTGACTCTGCTAGCTGAGCATGCTCCGTTATTCACTGCATTTGAGCTTTCTTGATGCTTCTGTATGATCCAAATGGCTTCAATGATTCCAGCAGATGTGAGGGATTTGGGAGTTTTATATAAATCCACTGGATCTATGTGGTCTTAAATCTACTAGTTCAATTCTAGGAAAAAAAGTCCTAATCCCAATTAGTGAGCAAGCAAATGTGAACTTCAACCACAAAACAAGATAAAAACTGATCAAGCTAATAGACTAAAATGTTAGCCCTTACGATAACAATAACAAATAGCTTTAGCCTCTAGGGTGGAGAAGGGAATTGGTTTCAAAATGCATTCTCCAGGATCTCGGTGATAAGGTCTAATTTTGTCTATTCCTTGTACTGCATGCATTTTATCTGTAAAACTGGATGGTGCCTCTTGAATCAGTGTATATTTATTTCTGTGCATATTAGGACCAACAGCCTAATATCTGGGGGTGGTAAAGGACTTGTAGCACTTTAATGTAGTAGCTTTCATAAATTGGGACTCATTGATAGAATGCCTAGTGTTTTTAAAGTTGAATGGACTTCCTTTTATAATATATTTAAAATAAATTTTTAATGTGTTTTCTGAAACTGTGTATGCAGAAATGACTGTCCCTGCCTGGTTCGCTCTAGTGATTGATTTCCCTTCTCGCTACTTCTTAGGAGAATAAGCTTAGTTACCCTGGTCTGGTGTCTCCTCAGCATAGGCTTCCCAGCCACGTCACGCACTGCTCTCCTCCAGCCCCTTTGGGAAACGTTCTTCCCAGCTGCCCTTTGAAGGTATCGGGTGTAAATTGCAGGGTTTGCTGTGTTCGTGCACAAGCAGCTGACAAGCTCATGCCTGAGCACTGTGTTGGGCGTACGTGGCAGGTTCAGGCAGCTGGGGGCTGCAGAGATGCCTGTGGGACAGGAGCTGTGAACTCTGGTCTGCCCCTCACAGCTGCTTCCAGCCAGCTCTGAAATCAGTGGGAACAACCCACCATGCCCCAAAACTCCAGCCTGTCAGAGGACCCTGCAGCAGTTCAGCTCAGGCAAGTTTAATGAAGAGCAGCAGCCATGAGGGGAGGAGACACGTGAGGAGAAATGTGTGGAGGTGTGAACAAAGCTGGAGGAGATGTGGAGAGAGACGTGTTTGTGCAAGGAGGCCATAGGGCCATGGACAATCCTTGTTGGTAAGGGCACACTGGGAAGCACAAAGGAGCAGAGAAAACCCAGAACAGAGAAGTAAAGGCAAACAGTTACACACTTGACCCTGATCTCCTGCACCACCCATCACCTCACTTAATGAATTGGGACAGACTGCATGCAAACAGCGGCAAAGGGGAGGTGAGACTAGGAATGAGGGAGGACAGAAGTTTGGATGAAATTTAGCCGAAGGAAGGAGGAGGAAAGGTGTTCACTTCAGTGTGTGTTTTCTCTTTTCTCAATACCCAAAGCAGTGATTAGGAGGGTGTGTTAATTGGCAACTACGAAAGTAAAAATTCCTCAGGTTGATACTGTTGCAGATGACATGGTGTTGGAGCATCATCTACTGTAGTGAGTGCCTCAGGGCTGAGCCACGGTGGGCTTTCTGTAGGGGGAGCTTTTGAGTGCAGTTGGCTGCTGCTTTGTGTGGGTGAGTACTTCAGGAGAGGGGTTGGGCTGGGACTCTCGGACACTCTTGTTCCCCTGCCCAAACACTGCAATGCTCTCAGGGGTGGATGGTGACCCTCGTGCCATCCTCCTTTCTGTCATGCCTGGATGGTGACCCTTCGCCGTCTTCCTTGGAGCATGGGCCTTGCTGTCCTCTCAAGAACAGAGCCTCGTGGTGAGACTCTCTGCGAGCTGACACCTGGGCGGCAGCCACCGTGCCTGGGACATTCCCCTCCCTGAGTCTGCCATCAGCCACATGTTCAAAGCAGTGCAAAAAGTTTTTCTCAAAGGCAGTTTGTGTGTTTACTGCTGAGAGAGATGGCTGTGAGAGTAAAATGTTAAAATCACCCAAGCGTATACAAAGTGTCTTGTCTGAACTACCTTTTCCTGCAGTTTGAGGGAGCTCAGTGTCGCACGACTGTTGCCCAGCTTAGGGCAGGATGAAGCTGTTACTCTCCTTTCTCTGCAGATCTGCCTTGAGAGCAACCACTGGTAGATCCATCCTACACCCTGATTTTCAGGGAAGTGATTTAACAGCTCATTGCCCTTTTTCTGTTCTAGTCTTTGGGTGGAGAGAGCAGTCTTTCGGCCCAAGACAAGGTAAGTTTATAGGCATTGCTCATGGCCCTATCCCACGTTCCCATTAGGACCCTCAGCACTTCCTACAGTCACCACTTCATTTCTTCCCAACAATCTTTTTTACTTAACGCCAAGTGTCAGGTGTTTCCCTTTCTCAAAAACAAGCAATGGGGTGAAAAACAGTGAAATAAACAGAGGGGACACAAACAATAGCATGTGTGAAAAATCTGCATGTGTGAAAATCAGCAAGGCGTGCTCCTAAGGGAAGACTGTGCCGTGGTTCTTGGGCCACGGGAACATTTCCCAGGGGGAGTATGTGCCAAAAGCTGTGACAGTTTAAGCATTTTAGCAGGTTCAATATGTGCCACCCTTGAAAAATGCTGAGGGCAGTGGGAGTCTGGCGGAAGGTGCTAGGGCAAAGTCTCCTTTGGCCCCAAAGGTACAGAAAATGGAAATGGTCTGATTCCCAACTGGAGGTATAAAAAAATAAAAAGGGCTTTTTCCCAGGACGTCTTTGTCAGCACGGACCTTTTGGAGAGCAGCATATCTGTCCCAAGAACCCTGAACAGCTCCATCAAAACAGTAAGTTCCAGATGGCAGCTACATGGCAGACCTATCTTTAGAGGGTAGTGCTGCTCCAGCTGAGATTTAAAGGCCTGTGCATGTTCCCCTAATTTGATTAGAGGCCTGGATTGGATGGGCAGGCTATTACAGGTTCAAACGCACTAAAGCTGCCCCAGTGCTGATGGGTTTATGAAACATTGTTTCTCACTTCATTGCAGCTCCCACAAAGAATTATTAGATCAGGTTAGTGATAGATACCTAATAAAGAATGTCTCTATGAGGCAGTTTATTTCACAGCAAGCTAGTTCCGGACTAGCAGAGTGTGAAATCTTGAGGTTCCCATGAGGATAAATATGCTGAAGTAAACTGCAATTATATGAACACCTCCATGCCTCTTTTTTTTTTTTTTTTTTTTAGAAAAAGGCATCATTGTGTTACCCTGAGCTGCAGGTACTTAGCATTGAATTAGGAAACAGTCAGTTCCAAAAGCAGGGGTTTTTTTTCCTCTTAGTAGGGTTGCGAAACAACTTAAAATCCTTTCATTTGCATGGGACGAGAGTTTGCAGCCAAAGATGAAATACAACCTGATGGTAAGTACCAACCTGTTCTAGCACTGATGGTGCCTGTTTCTCCAGCCACTCCCAGCCTCCCATTGAACAGTCCACGGAGCACCTGCAGAAGCTCCTCCTCACGGAGACAGGAGGAAGTTCTGCCTGTTGTGATCGTGTTCCCTTTTATCTACTTGCTTGCTGCTGTTATTGTCTGTCCCTACAGTTGGTGCTTTCAGCTTCCCAAATGTCCTCCTGCAAGATTTCATCAGCCTGCCATTTGATTTGTAGCGTTAAGATAAACCTAGAAAGCTTGCTGTCGGGAGCTCTGAGGTCACTGTCAGCCTTCTGGTGTTTCCCTTTCTCAAAAACAAGCAAATGTCTGTATGTTTTTTGCCAGGAGGCTATTACTTCAGGCAGGCAGATCCCAGGCAATTTGGCTAGGGGCTTTTATAAGAGGAAGCATCTTGCTTTTTTAAATCTCTCTGCTCTGCACTAACTGCTTGTTGGTCTGTGGGTAAAGTCATTTGTTTCCATCACCTTCCCATTGGAGTGGCTGGCTTCTGGGAGTGGTGTCCCCAGGAGAGTGCACTGTGGTTCTCTAGTAGTCACAGGGACAAACAGGAATTAGTAATTGCCAGAGTGGACCAGCAATGAAAACTAAGACAAGAGGCAGAACTGTCAAGGAAGAGTATTAAGTTCCTGCCCTGCAGATTTATTCTGAGACACGTTTGGTATTGCCTGGAAAATACATATTTTAGCATTTCGCAGTCTTCTTCTGGGGAGCAGGCAGAACAGGCTGCAGGACGCCTGTGTCAGTGTTACCCTGCAGCAGGCTGATCTGACGACCAAGGACTTTGAGAAGACTCTTTCTTGCAAAGGTATTTTGTGTGTGTGATTCAGCACAGTTCAGCCTGTGCTAACGTACATTGTTCCGTGTGTGGGATTTCAGACTTTGAAGTAATTTTAGTCCATAGAACCTCTTTTCTGTTTGTGCAAAAAGTCTTTTCTTCAGGAAGATGAAATCCTTTTCCATTTACAGCTGCCCACGCACCTTTGACGATACAATGCTATTACAGAGGTGACAGCATTTCCAGAAGTAACATCTTTTACATCTTTTCTCTACAAATGAGCAGGAATTTCTCCCCCCCGCCCCCCCGGCCTCATTTTACCCTTTTTTTCTGAAGATGAACAAAATGCAAAGCTTCAAGTCAGATTGCTTTGGGAAACACTTTCCCAGGTCCAATCTTTTCACTATCCCTGCCTTGTAATTAGTAAAAAATCCATTTTCTTTAATAATTCTTTCAGACAGAACTCCTAACTACACGGCACCAGGAGCCTTATGTGATGATGTAGCCAAAACCAGGCGTTTGTGGAGTATGTCGACATGAGTTTTGCACAAGTGACCGGACGAGAGCCTGCTCCAGCCTGGCCGGTTGCTGCCTTCGCCCTGTTACTAGAGCGGTGCCGGTTCAGCTGTGGCCGGTCGCAGACACCCGGCTTAGGAGCCCGTGGCTCGCCGGCTGAGGCGGGCCAGTGCCGCGGCCAGAGCCTTGTGTTTCGCTATGGGGAGCAGAGGAAGCCCGAAGGCCGGCGACGAGGCCGGGACACGCTCCGGCAGCGCCCGGGGCGAACTCAGAGGCCGAGTTTCCTGAGGCTCCTGCCCAAAAGAG